CCGACAAAGCATTCTTGGACGAGTCCACTGCAGACTCTGAAAGGTGACGCAGGTTACCCCATCGTAAACAAATTCTACTATGCATGGGCAGAGAATGTATGAATGAACCCCCGAACTGAAATTGCTTTTCACGGACCTGCAAATGATGTGTACTTTGAGTGACAGTAAAACAATAGCACAAAATCAATGTTAAATTCTCAAATAATCTGGCGCTTTGGTAACGGAACCTATATTTTAATAACTTATTTTGATTCGTACGGAATATCTGTTGGACATGCCGCTCAGCTAGATGAACCCCATCGTCTCAAGCCACGGTCCAGATTAGGAGAGGGTCGTACACTTTGGCCGTGGTTTGCAACGATGACTGGACCCGTGGATTATTTCTGGAGCCCGGAGCCCCCCCCCCCCCCCTCCCTCCCCCTTACACTTTGGAAAACTTTTCTACAGACTTGTAGCAAGCTACATGTATATATTGAATGTTATGTACGTCATTAAGCAGAAAATACAAAAAAAATTTTAGTTTGAAGTATACGAGATGTCTACATAAAGTAAGAAACGGCCACGTTACTATGCTCTATAAAATATTCTTGAAAGTGTGTCACATAAATTCATCTTAAAAAGTAGTTCGATTAATTATATTTCTTTAATATATGAATTTTGTTTCATGTACATGTAGTTTATTCAACAGAAGATTGAACTGAACAGCCTTCATCTTATACCATTTTAGGATATTAATGACACTTCCTAATTGACTTTCTACAGCTTGAGTATTTCTGACGTTTTGTCAGTATATACTTGTTTAAATAGTTAGTTTTTATTTTTCAAAGCAGACATTACCTAATCCCCCTTTAAAAATTTAAAAAAAAAACACCAAAAAAAAAACAAACAAACAAACTCCTGTCTCTGAAATTCGAATTCATCCAGAACGTACAAAAAAGCCAATAGACAGACTGAGTTATAGTTCTTGGTGACCTTACATGTATATGTGTATATATTACAGGGGAATGGACACAGTTGCATATTAATTGTTTTTAGTATAATTTGTGTTTATTCAAATTATCAGTTTAATAAACTGTAAATTGGACTTCAATGAACCATCTTAAAAATTAATGACCAAAGAAAGGGCATATTGGAAGCTTCCAAATTCTGTAAACAAAATTGAATACAAACACGTACAAGAAATTGACTTCACCTCTGCCAAGACAATAAAGAAGAAAATAAACCAGGCGATAGATGAAGTATCACCAGTCGGATCTGGGCCTTCACAGCGAAAACTGCTGAGAACCAGAGAACAAAAATAAGATGCAATTCTACCAGAAATTGAGCCGCGTACAGGAAGCCTGTTCTGTTGCCTCAGTTTGCCAAAACTTACAGGCCTGCATCCTTAGACAGAACCTGAACTGTATGCGGAAGCATGCAAAAAGATGAGGTAGCTAAGCACTGTTACGAATTTTTCCAAATATTGGTTGTGACTCCAGAAGAAGCTAAAAAAGTGTGAAACTGTTACTCGTGATCAGGCTAACAACAAACAGTGGTTCAATTTCGAAATAGGCCGAATAACAGAATCCCTTGCTAGGGGAGTGTGTAGCACATCATTTGCTATTCATCCAATAGTTTGATCAAAGACTATTCTCGTGGCTATTTCGGAGTAAGAGATCAATTTGAACTTTTCATTGAAAGGCCTTCCAACTTAGAAGCCCGTGCACAAACCTGGTCATCATATAAACACCATAATACCGTTAAGTTTTGAATTGGGATATCACCACAGGGAGTCATATCCTTCATCAGTAAAGGGTATGGTGGCCTGTCAACTGACAAACATATTACAAGAGACTGTGGATTGTTAGACAAACTTGAGTATGGGGACATTGTTTTAGCAGACAGGGGTTTTGACATAGCAGAAACTCTTGCACAAGTAAGCTGCAAATTCAAAATCCCTGCATTTACAAAAGGGAGAACCCAGTTACATGTATCTGCCTTAGTTGTGGAGCGCACCCGAAAATTATCCCATGTGAGGATTCACGTGGAACGTGTAATTGGACTTGTTTAGAACAAGTATAAAATATTACAGGATACCGTGCATGGACTATTGGCTTAAATTCTGAGATTTGGCTGCAATCGGGACAGTACCATTTCCCCCTGGGTAGGTTTGATTCTGTCAGCTTAGACATGATAGATGGAACCATTAATAATGACAATAACGGTTGTCACAGGCCACCATTGTGTCAGTTTCTCCTTTCCTAAAGAAACAGAAAAGTGTGTCCGATTCCTGCAGTACAACCATGGATGCTGGAGTAAACTTCCAAGCAAGTTCAGGCACAACAGCCAATGAATGAAAGTCAGTTGCCTTGGTCTTCATTTCCTCCCACAGTTCATTATTTGGTTGAACTCTTTCCATGTGAAAATCTTACTCTGTCCATACGACAAAGTCTGCATACTCCTTTTCACATACAAAAATCTGTGTTTGGATCTGATAGTAGTATTGATGGTTCCTTTTAAGAGCATGTCTACGAGAAATCCATGCAGATATATAGAAAAATGCTCTGGTAGGCACTCTCAAGAACAAACTAATTTTTATTATTAACTTAAAGGACACCCATTGAGAGTCAGAAATATGTTGTTTATTTTTGCATCGGTTGTTTCTATTTTTAGTAACAGCCAATAATTCATTTTGGTCAATATTCAAGGGAAAATGCAAAAAAGTTGGTGTAAAAATGACAATTTCAATATTTAAAAGTAAAAAAGAAAAAAGCAATATATAAATAAAAGGGCTATGTTTTCTCATAGAACTAAGTCGTAAAATTAAGTTGGAATCATTTTTTTTGTAAAACCCCGATATAGAAGGCTGTCCCGAGGGCACAAATATTGGCATGGTGCCAAGAAATGATAATGGTTCATTTTTTGTTAATATTCAGGGATACATTTCTTAGAAAGTGACGCTTCTTTTTCAGAATTTTGTGCATTTAAGAATCTTTATGATATTATCCCAACAATATGTAAAATCCACCTTTGGACTCTCAAGGACAGAAAAGTTATATCGTAATGAATTTACCTCAAATTCAAATGATGGAAAAATTCATGATTTTATAAGTTTTACTTTTAACAGTAATTTTAATGAATTTTGTGTAAAATATTTACAAATATAAACAATGAAAATTATTTTTAATTTTATAAAAGCTATAAATAATTTTTTTCCTGCTTTTCCTGTGAAAAAAACGTATTTTACTTTTTATTTAGATTTTGTTAGAATTATCTCCCCTGTTGCGCTCTTCTGTAGAGAAGGTAGATAATGATTATGTTTACGAAGTTTATAAAGAGATGTCTGTCATCTAATCGTTTTAGGTATAAATTATGTGTGATTTGAAGAAAATTGTCCCTCCTGTGAATGTAATTTGTTACGTATAAACTAGTGGCCTATGTATAAAATGCATAAAAAATTTATGAAAACCATCGAGATCGAAGTACGGTTCCGTAACCACGTGTAAACATTATGGTATTCTGAGACGTTTTGTTACCGTTTTGTACGTCCTCAGAAAAAGATTCAAGTGCGTGAATTGTCAACGAGTCTTCAGATTATGGCTCTGATTTTGATGAATATGATTCTGACAGCAAACATTCATTTGGTAGCAAGACGGATGTAGTGATGATGATACTGAGTCAACAATGTTTGAATTTGAAAAAGAAACAGGTTGGTGGATCTTGGTTTATAATACTATGTACCTTATAAAAAGGCTGATTGATATGTAAAAAATAAATAAATAAATAATTTTGTTTTGATTATGGACAAGAGAAATTTTTTTACAAGACAATATCAGGTCTGGTACAATCACAGGAGCTTGTCACGAAATATTTATCTTCGTTTAAAATACACAAGTGTGTATTTTTATAGTAGGGGTAACTTTATTAAAAGAAGATAAATATATCGTGACAAGCCCCTGTGGTACAATCACTAGATAAAGCTATATACGTAGCTTGATTTACCTACTTAGTTAGCTTATTTTACCTACCAGAAGTATAGCTTTATTTAGCTACCAAAGTAATTTATTTCTATAAAAAATACCTACGTAAATCTAGTTATTGTACTGGACCTGAATATATACCTAGCAAACCTGTCAAGGGAAATTTCAAGGTTGGTACTTGTACATGTAGCAATAAAAATATCTGTATAAATTCAACAATATTGCAAAATATTAATATTCACATCTGCAGAATTATAAATAGCATAAGTAGCCTTTGTTGGATGATGAAGAAGGAATGAAAAGTTGAATAGGTCCAGGGTTTTCAAAGACTGTTTACTAATAGGGTACATTAAGAATAGGATAGGTGGGTCTTCACTGTCAATTAAATCACCATTATTGCCTCATATGTGGGCTGCATGATTGTAAAGAATCTCATTAAACAAAATATTTTTTTCAGATATTTATGAAATGTAATGAAGATCGGGCTACAGTTATGATTTTCGGCTTTTCATATATGATTAAAGGAAAAAGAGTTGTCAAATACTTATGCAGACTTTTCAAATTAAAGGTCACCATGTGTTCCTTGACAGGTTTGTGTTTAAAACATAACTAATATTATAAATATAAGTCTGGGAAATTATACTTTGTACAGAATATTTCCTTTCATTCTTATATTTCTCGTGCAATTTCAGATTATTCAAATTCATTTCCCTGGTTAGGGCTGGGCTTTACAAAGGGATTTTCAGCTGTGGAGCTATAAAGAATTGCTACATAGGGTTTCCAATGTAATTTTGTGAACAGAATCCAGAAATAAGAAGAGGAAAGACAATGCAGATGCAGCATTAGCATTACCAATTACTTATCAGTGCTGAGGAAATGGTAAAGATATGTTATATTATTATACCTCTACTGTAATTACTCTGTATAAATTAATACCATAAAACTCTATTTCCCCGATAAGTGACTATTGCCCTCATCTGAAGACTACTCCTTGGAAAATCAGAGTTGCTCCCTTGGACTACTCCCTCATGAATATTTATTAGTAATTTTAACCAATCAAAGTGTTCAGTCGGTGGATCGTTCAAGAATCTCGAGTCTGTGACGTCATGTTATTAGCAATGTAGCTATGACGTCAAAACATTTTGACATGCGATGTCAAAACCATACTTGAATTCTACCAAAATGAAGACAACGATAATTTTTCGAAATGTCAGTGAAAATACTTTTTTAAAAATAATTTAATTGTTTAAGGACACGATGCTTCACTTATCATACAATGTGTTAAACCTCTTGCATTTGTAATTATGCCTCTACAGTTTTTTTTAAAATGTCGGAATATCTGGTTAAAAAAATTTAAATCGCCTATCATTGTTTCGGTATAATAAAAAAGTTATGGAATGGGAACTCGGGAAATAGCAAATTTATAGTTCCCCTCGGCAGAAAACTATTTCCTCTGGGAAATAGTTTCCTCCCTCGGGGAATCATAAATTTGCTATTTCCCTCATACCCATTTCATAACTGTATACTATAGTACATGGATAGGAATTGCCTTGTCTTTCTGTCGATTTGCCACATGCATTTTTCCCTACTCTGTTACTTTACTTCAAGGATATATGAAGCTCTTTTTTTCTTCAAAGATAGCCAGAAGAATTTGTGAAGAATCTTACCCAAGTCATTTGATGACATTTTCTTCAATTGATAAATTTAAATGTAGCATTATCATAAACATGACATTTATTTTAAAAATCTTAGAATATGTCTAGTATGGTTTATTTCAATTTAATTTGAAAACTGTGTTTTTTCACAGGTACATGCTTTGAGTACTACTTTTTTGTATTTGGAGACAGTCCAGTTGTTCTTTAAACCAGAAGTGGAAATTTCAGTGCTTGTTAAATTTTCTCCAGAAGTTATTGGATGATACATAGGAAGAAAATGGGGTCATACTGAACAGAATAGTTTGGATACACCTTATAGATTTTGAAAGCTTGAGACCTCAAGATCAACCCAAATGATATTTAATATGTATCAGGTTTCACTTGCAGGAATACACAGAAATTCAGAGTAAATTTTAAGTGTTTGTTATCTTAGAAAAGATCAAAGTTCAAAGTCAACAGTGCTTTAGTTTTACCAAATATAACACTATTATAAAGACTAACTTCCTGTATACAGGTATAGCAAATAATTCAGAATATGATTTGGGGAAACTGTGATTTTTTTTCTTTTAATCTTACCTTAATTTAGAACCATGATATATAACTTAAGCAAGTAGATTTTTTTCAAGCATACAAAATTTCAAGGTCATTTTAATTTTGGAAGTGAATATAAAATATCAGGAAGCAGTCGAGCATTGTAATTTTTTTGTTGTTGAATGTACTTAGTTATTGAGTAATATTAAAATTTTAATATGCAATGAAATTAAAAATTATACTGGTATATCGAGAATTATAACCCTTGACCTTTGACCTTGTGAACTCCAAATTAAAAGGGGCCATCTACTTATTAGTAGATACCAGTGTACTATGTTTATTATCTATCAAGCAAGGTTTTTTTTAAGATAAGAGAGAACACACTTGGTCTACTGATTGACAAACAGGTACTAAGCAGTATGTGAATATCACCCTGCTCAAAGAAAATGTAAAATAATGCAATTCTGGTACACCCCCCCCCCCCCCAAATTAACCCCATTTAACCCCCTTAGAAATAATTATTGATTGAAAACAAAAATGTACAATATACTGGTATTTTTCAACAGCAACATTTAAATTTTTGAAAATATTTAAATCAGCAAAATAACTCCTTGCTGAAGTTCAGGGATGAGAAAATTTGAAAATTCACAAAAAAATGTTCAACTTTAAGTAAAAAGTACAGCAAAATATTTGAGAGTCCAAAGACAGATTTTTTATATAATGTAGACAGACATGTTGTCTAATAATTGGAATGAGATTGATTTGATTCTAAGCGTCACTTTCTGAGTTATAGTTTTTTGAAAAGTGAATATTTTCACCAGTTTTCAAAAATCTGGAAATATGCCAGATTTGTGACCTTTTTGCACTTAAACGAGGGCACAGTTTGTGATTATGAAAATTTTTCCGAAACAAGTGTATCTTGTTACTTTCAACTATATATGGATATTTTATATCATTATCAAGTAAAATGCTGAATTTTTAAATATAAAATCCTATAAAATTCCTGTTTTCACCCTGCATAAGGACCAAGAATTCTATTTTTAGTAACAATGTCGATTTAACCCCTTAAGTGAGACCACACTGAAAAAATTTTTGTGGCAAAATATTTCATATTATAGAAGAAATTTACACACAAAATATGAAGTTGATCCGAGAACCTTGCTCCCATAACCTCTTGCATGGTTTTCTCGTAGACATGCTCTTAAGTCGAAGTCCATCTGGTGTATCCTCCAAGCAATATTTTCCTCCAGTGTAGAGACTCAGGGATGTCGACGGCACACAATTTAGACATTTGATTTCAGCTACTCCCTGGCCACAGCAATCACAAGACACAAATCCATCCGGGGAGGCTCCAATTAAAGGATAGCTGAGGTTAATGCAAAATCCGGCATCTTCTTCTGTAAAGTTGTCATGGATTTGGCGCATTGCCTCACAGTGGACTTCACGGGCTTGTTTCTCATGTGTACAGCCCCATGTAGTTGCTAATGTTTGTAACTTTTAAATTTCTGGGTTGCATATGACCCTTATTAAGCTCTCAGATGGGGATGCAGGGTTGCTGTGGCAAGCTGCATACATGCGGGATGCTGTTATGCGACCACTACGACATCTGTTCCATAGCTTTGTGGTAGCTTGTTGTTTGGTGGCTTTCTGAACACAGTCCGATTCTTCTTTTGTCACAGTCACTTGCACTTTTTCACAGACTTCCTTAATATCCCTGAACAGTTCCTGAAGGAGATCTGTCATAAGCAAGTCATTTAATACAATTGGGAATTTCTGTTCCAGTGCTTTGGGTATAAATGATTCTTGGAATGAATTTTTGACACTTAATATTGTTGACTGTGCTCCAGTTTGACTGAGTTTGAGAAATGTCCTTAATTCATCATCTGATCGATGGAGCACTGTAAACACTCTCGAACATTAATGGAAATAACCGACTTTTCTCATAGGCTAATTTTTGGGCGCCAAATTCTCACGTTACCGAAGGAATTACGGTGCTGAGAATTGATTGAATGTATACTGTTTAACGTCCCTCTCCAGAATATTTCACTGATATGGAGACGTCACCATTGCCGGTGAAGGGCTGCAAAATTTGGGCCTTTGCTCGGCACTCAGGGCCATTGAGCAGGGAGGGATCTTTATTGTGCCACACCTGCTGTGACACGGGGCCTCGGTTTATACGGTCTCATCCGAAGGACCACCCCTTTTAGTCGCCTTTTACGACAAGCAAGGGGGTACTGAGGACCTATTCTAACGGTGCTGAGGAAGAAGATGAAGGACTTCGTGGAACTCGACTTCGTGAAGGAAAAGACCGCTGGAGTTGCCCCCAGTGGATGGCTCGAACGTGAATGTGAGGTTGAGGAGAAAGTGGTTGTCAACTGGGAAGACGGAAAGAAGAAATCGCCGTATGAAGTAATAGTTCTGGCATTTTCAGGTTGGTCTTATTTATGTCCCCTTACTAGCATTAGTCGCCATCTTGGATTTTACGGAATCACAAAGCAAAATGGTGAACGGTCATAGGCTTTGAACGTTAATTAGATTCTTAATTATTCGCAAGAAGAATAAGATTATGATTGTTAACTAAGATTTTACAGATTGTGCGTTAAGATAAAATTTAAGTTTAAAGCTATGGATTACTGTAGATCACTTAATTTTCGAGACACCTTATTTTCGCGAGATAGTCATATTTCTTTACCAGTTTATCTTTTAAAAAGATAGGTGAGCTAGCGCCGTAGCATTTTTTAAACACAGAAAGGAAGATCCGTGATCAAGTGATTTATTTTGCTTCTTCAATTTTTATAAAGGCTGGAGCGTGATAAAGTTATTATTGTTCTGTGAGGTGTATTTTGTAGACAAGGTTAAGAAATAAGGGGGGTGACCTATTGGAGTTTTGGCGCAACGGAACATATATGACCTTTACTGGAGGGGGGGGGGGGCTCTATATAATATGAAGATGCCGATTTAGACATTGCATGTATGAGCTGATTTAAAGAAGAGATGTAGCGAAGAAAATACATGGGAGCTGAAAGGAATATAGAAAATAACTCAAAGAGAGTAAAGAGTCCAGAGAGTTTGGAACGCATGTGAAGTAGCTTAATTGGTCCTTTGGGTCATCTTTGTCAAATTTGATATGTTAGATTAAAAGCCATACACATAAGAATTTTTTAAACACAAATAGTGGATTTACTAGTATTCGTTATTTTAGTGGAAACTCTTGCTTCTGTTTCTGGAATTTGTAAGATTGGCTGAATTGACCAATCAGAAATTAGAATCTATCTTTGATTATGCTTCGATGTAAAAAAAAAACCACATATAAGCTCCCTTGTCATTGTTTAGAACAATCAGTTAATGATTCGGACTTTTCCGTCAGCAAAAAGAACCCCTAGAATTTGAAATATTATAAATATGAAGTTATCTTAAAGTGTACGTTACACAATAAATAAACAGTTATTTCATGCTACAACACGATACAACGAAATTGTTATCGTACGGTCTATCTGTAGTAGTTTTTCACAGTTTCCCGAGAATGCACGACCATGGCGGCCGAGCATGCGTATTTAAGGAATTTGGACTTACGTAGTTGCTAGCGCTCAAGCGCTAGCAATTAGCGAGACAAAATTTTCACGAATTGTGGTTACTGCTCTATATAATCTGAAGGAATTTTTTTATACGCGAGAATGAAATTTTCGCGAGCATATTGTCTCGCGTAATAACGCGAAAATAAAGTTCTCGCGAATAAAAAGTAATTTACAGTACTTTATTAAGTTTGCATTCCATGTTCAAAACATAATTTTTGGCGGTTCCTGTATTTTAGCACCAAGTTTTACAATGTCATTTTACATCTTTCACAGAATATCTCTAGCTACCAGTCTCTATTTTGGATTGCATTTGCCAGTTAGGCTGTATATAGTCAATGCATACTGATATTTGAACTGGATGAACAATATATACATATACATATCAACAGAAATATATTATTTACCTGCTTAATCTTTGAAAAAATGAAACCAATAAAAAATCAATAAAATCAACCAAATTCTGAAGAAGAAATTATTTTTGAGTGAGGCCAAAATTGAGGCCAAAAATTTTTACAGAGGCCAAATCTGAGGCCAGGCCAACTTTTGAGGCCAGGCCAAAACTTGGTTTGAAGCCAAATTAGAGGCCAAAATAGAGGCCAGGCCAACTTAGAGGCCAGGCCAGGTTTTAGAGTATGCCATGTGTCGTAGAAGGTCTTTGTGGTGTCATAACAGTTCAGAAACAATTAGAAATTTAGTAGTTTATACAATTATGACTCTGCCAGAGGACACAACTATTGAGCTCCTTTCCAAGGTCACTAACTTGGAGCATGACCTGGATGAAATAACAAAGGTAGTTAAACTTTATACAATATATATAGGATCTGCACTGATTTGTAGTTGAATATGATTGTTGTCGAACAAGTTGTGTGTTATAAAACACACAACTCATTCACAGGCACCTGACGGTACTTATTTTTCTTTTAATAAAAAAAATATACACATACCTAATAATAAACAAGGTATCCAACGAAACCCGCCATCTTGGATTTTCGAAGTAGGTCATCACTTGTATTTTCGTCTGAAACTCCGTCAAATAAATTCCCTGCAACCATATTCTTTCTGTGGCCAGGCTTTCGAGGTCTAAACTTACGGACACTGCAGCCAGAAAGGCGCATCACACTTGCAAATATTGAAAATCCCTCGTCAAACTCGACCTACTGCTTCAACATTCCGAGAAATCGCCAAAAGGGGGCCGGAAGTTTACATCAATATGCTAATGGGAATTCCGTATTTGTCAGTTTTGTGGTGGATCTTAAGCGGCGTGTTATAGTTACTTTCGAATTTTTAATAAATATTTCGATTATAGAAATGAAAAAAAAATGCAAAATGGGGAAAATTAAACACTTCTTATAAATATACCTGTAAAATATACTGTATTAATCTATACAGGTCGTTGCGTTCGAAACAATCTTGAATATAAAAGAGGGGGTGCTT